TCTGCCGTGGGGGGGGCGCCTCAGGGCGGGGGCTCAGGGATGGGGGGGGGGGCGCAGGTGGAAGTTTCGCCTAGGGCGCGAAACATCCTTCCACCGGCCCTAATTCTTATTCAAATGAGACCTGCAGAATGTCAGGCATAATTACAGCCATGGTCTTGAAATCTGTACAGTAATAGTTAATGTAAATAATGTAAAGCTGTAGGATGAATTTATGTTTATTAGATCTTGCTCATTGTGAACCCAGTGCATTAACACACCAGAGTGATGAAAGTATGAAGAAGGTTTTAGAGATCTCAAATGTTGCAAGAATCAGCTCTGATCTTTAGGTGCTAAACAAGAAAATGGTCCTTCCCCCAGGCCTTTGCTAATGTCAAGGACAAAAAGATTTCCAAATGCCTGGACTTTCATAAACCACAAATGTAATCTTTCTGTCAAAAGAAGAGGTTTTAAAATAATCAGGAACCTTCCTAAGTCAATACTTATTTTCCTAAAAAATAACATACCAGTGGGTCTCCCAGTTGTGATCATATGGTAACTATTTCAAATATAAACAACAAGTTAACTGTTAGAACCTTCATACTATCCAGAATGCCAGTCAAATGAATATTTACAGGCAGTAACTATGGTATATATGTTATACTATTATACTCTGTGTGTGTGTGTTTATATATATATATTTACAGATGGGCTCCAGTTGTGAAATTCAGATGAAGATTTGAACTTCACCAAAGCTTGGGGGAGATTTGGATCCATTGTTCTGTTTTGGAGCCATATTGGTAGTGATATAGTAATAGTCACCTATAAGTCTGCTGTAGTTCAGATTGCCAAATACTTTCCATTATAACCCCTTGTTTTTGTGTTCTCGTAACTTTGAAACAGTCACTTTTTGCGATGAAATTTTTTGTGCATGGTCTCAGCCCCAAAGAGATTCTTTTTCTTTTGGAAAACCTGAGCAACAAATGTGAGCAGTTGTTTCTGAGTTCATCAGGATTGCAGCAAAATTGGCTGAAGTTTGAAACTAGCTACGATGAGGCCTGGATATACTATACTGATGCCATAAATTCTTACTAATGTCTATAGTAAGAGTTTTCAGGATTGAGTCTACAGTACTCATTGACCCTTGGTCTTAGAAATAGATCTTTTGTATTTATTTACAAAGTAGGAATATTTGGATCACCTGGTCTGACCAGGTGCAAGAGAAAGTTCCAATTCAGTTAATAGCGATGCACATTACATGCATAAGCACTCTTTGTCTAGATGCAGAGGCAGCTATTGGGATAAGCCCTAGTGTTGCCTCTCCACTTGCACTCTTAAAGTGCATACTGCCTACATGTTAGAAATTATGAGACTAGAAGTCATTTGGCATGCAGGTGCCTCTGTACCACAATTGTCACCATTCTTAAACAGGTGAGGCTAGGAGACAGCAAATGGGAAAAGCTCCTCTACGAGCATTACTTGGGAAGATGCATTACTCCAGGCAAGCATTACTTGGGGAGATGCAGCAATTGGGCAAGGCCCATCAGCTGTTTCATGTCTCCTGAACTCACACAGATGTGCACTTCCTGGCCTGAAGGAGATAGGAGGCAACAGAAGAGGCATTACCCACTAGGTGTAGTCTTGTGAGGTTTTTTTTAAATGTGTTCCTTTAAAAAAAAAGAAAACTTAAAGAATTAAATTTACCTACCATGATAATGCCACACGGGGGGCAGAGCATGAATTCCTTACCTTGGAGAGTAATTTCATTAAATTGGGTGTTATACAAGTAAATGCCCACTCTTTATGAGCAAGGATTTCAGAATCTGGCCCTATACTTACTTAGTTAAAGCCACCCAAAGTCAGGAAATGCAAAACGTTAAAGCTGAATTCTTCACCACCACTGTGTCCAACAACAACAACACCACAAAATAATCTCTAAAACCTGTTCAAATTCTGTTCAGATAAGCACAGAAAAACCTCTCCAGTCTGCATAATGCAACTTGATATCTCGCAAGATCGGGCTTTCCCCCTTGCTCTATATAATATATACTCTTTCTTCTTCATGGCCGTAGTTTCCAAAGTTTTAATTTCTGATGGCCCGGAATAAGTCAACAACACACATAGTCATACAGAACATTTGCTTTGTTCAAACATGGCATTCCTGCTATCTTTTAAATGGCATCACCATAGTCTAAGCACAGACTTAAGATATGAGATGCAATAACCTTTCCTGCTTCTTGGCTCAAACAATATCTCTTCCTGTCCAGCACTATACATAATACCCAGTTTCAGGTGACGTTTTAATCAACTGATCAATGTGCTAATCAAAGTTGGGGCTCGAATCTCTCCAAATGCCAAAGCATCAAATGTTATCTACAGCTTCCAAATCCCAACCACCCAAAGCTTTTATGTTAGCTTCTTCTGCTATTTAGTAAAGTTTGATTTTTATTCCTCCCAAGTTCCCTTTAAAAACACAGTATAGCCTTGGTTTCAAAAGCATGAAATACCAATTTGTTACTGCTAAACCACAGGTCAATGTAATAACTAGCATCAGCTTACAAGAGTCATTGGCTCTGGCAAGATTTTTGGGTGCACAAGGAATGCACAATGGGGCTGCATATTCATGGAGACAGCATTTTAGCTACAATGGAAATACAGACACCTGTGGGGTGGATCAAGTCAGTGATTCAACAGTGCACAACACCACCGCACAAAGCTCTGTGACTGAAAGTGAATAAGAATAATGCATTCAGTATGAAATTTGAGAGGGAAAATGTATTTACTCAAAATGGAATGTGCCCAGGACACTGTGGTTAGCAACCTCCTCTTAGGCAAACTGCCATAGGATCTTGAATTACCAGGAAAGGAAAACAT